CACATGGGTGCCGGTTCAAGTCCTGGCTGCTCCTCTTCTGATCCAGCTCTCTGCTATGACCTGAGAAAGCAGCAGATGGCCCAACTCAATGGGCCCATGCACCCGCGTGGGAGACCAGGAAAAAGCTCCCGGCTTCAAATGAGCACAGCTCCAGCCGTTGCAGCAAATTGGGGAGTAAACCAGTAGATGAAAAACCTCTCCCTCCCTCTGCCTCTCCTTCTATGTGTAACTCTAACAACTTTCAAATAAATTTTTTAAAAAATTAACATTTTCAGAAACTAATTTGAGAGGCAGAGGCAGAGAAAGATATATCAGTATCAATCTCCCATCTGCTGGTTCACTCCCCAAGTACCCACAACAACCAGTGTTAAGCTAAGCCAAAACTGGGGAAACCAAGAACTCAATTCAAGTTTCTGACCTGGGTATCTGGGACCCAACTACTTAAGCCATCACATACTACATCTCAAGAAGCACATGAGCAGAAGTTGGAATTGACATCACAGCAGAAGTTGAACCCAGGCATTTTGACAAGGGATAAGTGGCATCTCAACTGCTATGCCCTGTGCCTGCTTCCATTCTCCTTTAGAGGCAGAGACACACACACACAGAACTCCCACCCACTGGCTTACTTCTCAAATGCTCACGGTGGAGCTGTGCTGAGGCTGGGAGCTGTAAACTCATTCTAGGCCTCCCACATGGGTGGCAAGAACCCAATCGCTTGAGCCATTAATGCTGCCTCTCTCCCAGCTGATGCTGGAGCCAGAACTGGGTATTGAACCCAGAGAATTTCAAAGTGAGATACAGGTGTCTTAACTGCTAGACCAAATGCCTGCCCCTGTTTTCTACTTTTTTTTTTTTTTAAATGTTTTAAGATTTATTTATTTATCTGAAAGTCAGAGTTACACAGAGAGAGGAGATACAGAGAGAGAGAGAGAGGTCTTCCATCTGATGGTTTTCTCCCCAATTGGCCACAACGGCCAGAGCTGCACCAATCCGAAGGCAGGAGCCAGGAGGTTCCTCCAGGTCTCCCACGTGGGCGCAGGGGCCCAAGGACTTGGGCCATCCTGCACTGCCTTCCCAGGCCACAGCAGAGAGCCGGATCGGAAGAGGAGCAGCAGGGTCTCGAACCGGTGCCCATATGGGATGCCGGCATTTCAGGCCAGGGCGTTAACCCATTGTGCCACAGCACCGGCCCCCCTGTTTTCTACTTTTAATGCATCTTCCATACAGCTGAGTATAAGAACCACATAAGTTAAATTTTCCAAGTATTTAAAAAAAGATTTATTTATTTGAAAGGCAGACACACACACATACAGAAACCAATCTTCCATCTACCGGTTCACTCCCCAAATGGCCACAACGGCCAGGGCTGAACCAGGAGCTTCTTCCAAGTCTCCCACATGGGTACAGGGGCCCAAGGCGATCTGCTGCTTACCCAGGCACATTAGCAGGGAGCTATACTGGAAGTGAAGCAGCCAAGACGACTCAAATCCGCACCATATAGGATGCCAGTCGCCAGGCAGAGGCTTAACCTGCTACGCCACAGTGCCAGCCCCTCCAAGCACTTTTTTCTAACTTAAGGGGCTATGCTGTGGTGCAGCTCCCATATTGGAGTGCCAGTTGGTGTCCCAGCTATTCTGCTTCTGATCCAGCTTCCCCCCCCCCTTTTTTTTTTGACAGGCAGAGTGGATAGTGATAGAGAGAAAGGTCTTCCTTTGCCGTTGGTTCACCCTCCAATGGCCGCCACAGCCGGCGCACCGCGCTGATCCGAAGCCAGGAGCCAGGTGCTTCTCCTGGTCTCCCATGGGGTGCAGGGCCCAAGCACTTGGGCCATCCTCCACTGCCTTCCCGGGCCATAGCAGAGAGCTGGCCTGGAAGAGGGGCAACCGGGACAGAATCCGGCGCCCCGACCGGGACTAGAACCCGGTATGCAGGCGCCACTAGGCAGAGGATTAGCCTGTTGAGCCACGGCGCCAGCTGGCTTCCTAATATGCCTGGGAAAGCAGCAGAATGGAAGATGGTCAAAGCACATGGGCCCCTGCCACCTTGCCACGACCCCCTCACCTTCCCTCTGCTGGCTCACAATCAAATGGCTTCAGCCAGGTCTGGGTCAGGTTGAAGCCAGGAGCTCGAACTACCCAGGTCTCCCATATGAGTGGCAGAGGCCCAACCTCTTGAGCCATGATTCACTCTGCTTCCCAGAGTACACTAGCAGGAAGCTGGATTGGATGTCAAGTAGCAAGGACTTGAACTCAAACTCTGATATGGGACTGGACACCAATTGGCAGTTTAACCTTCTGCACCACACTCCCCCAAAGCAGAGGTTCTTCTACTGTGGTGCCAGGACCAATACCATCAGCATTACCTGGGAACTTTGGTTAGAAATACAGGGGCAGGCATTTGGTAAAGCTTTTAATAGGCCAGTTAGGCAGCTGGCATGCCATACTGGAGCAGAGTGTCTGGGTGTGAGTGCCCTCCTCACTTCCAATATAGCTTTTTGCTAATGTGTACCCTGGGAGGCAGCAGGTGACAGCTCAAGTACTGGAGTCCACGCCACTGATGTGGGAGACCTGGATTTAGCCTGGCCCAGCCCCAACTACTGAAGGCATTTGAGTATCTCAGCAGATAAGATCTCTTTGTCTCTTTCTGTGCCAATTAAAAAAAAAAATTCTTAGATCCACCCCAGACTTACTGAATCAGAAACTCTGGTGTGGGGCACAACAATGTTTTCCATTTTCAGCTGATCATGATGCATATTAGAATTTGAGAATCCCTGGTCTACCTGGGGAAGATGCTGCGCAAGTAGAATTCATTACGGCTTATAAATCAACTGCCTGTCAAGTGGATAAAAGCTAAAACCTAAGAATGTCCAACCAAAGCCAACTATGACAAAAATAAGATAAACTGAAGTGGGACCTCAGTGGAAGGAATTATTCAGTTTGGAACATATCAAGTTAGGGAAGCCAGTAAAATACTCCAAAGACGACACTAAAAGGCAGCTGGAAAAAAATCAAGAGCTCAGAAGTTAGGTTGAGAAATACCCCTTCACACAGAATTGACAAACAATGCCGAGAACATCCATCTTACACAGAAAGACAGAAAGGGGCTGGCATTTGGCACAACAGTTAAGGCACAGGTTGGGATACTGGCATCTATATCAGAATGCCTGGTTTCGAGACTCAGCTTTCTGTAAGTGCATACCATAGGAGGCAATGGCTCCTAGTGGTGATGGCTCAGGTGAGTGGGTTCCTGCCACCTGTGTGGGAGACCTGGATTGAGTTCCTGGCTCCTGGCTTCAGCGTAGCCCAGACCTGGCTGTTAGAGGCATTTAAGGAATGAACCAGCGGAGGGGGCCTCCTTGTCACTGAGCCGAATCATAGTCTAATAATCCACATTCTGCAAATACTTTTAACTTTATATTTTATTTTTTGAAGCATCATTTTTTACACTATAGTCAAAGGCTTAGTACACTTTAACTTGCAAAGATTTATTTTGAAGATTTTATTTAGTACACAAAACACTGTCAGAATGTTATTATCAAAAGCAAAGATGTTCTATAACAGAAAAACCATTATTCTAACAGACACATCGGCAATACTAGACAACATTTCATCTCCTCTATCAGAGCTACCTACAGGCTTTCGCCATGCCCTCTCCCTGACAGGAAAACTATCCTTCCAGGTGTTTCCCCCGCATCCCAACTATCTCCACTGCCTCTCAGCAGCTTCCACTTGCCTCCCTGAAGGCAGCTGCCGGGCATCTTTGTAATCAGCTGTGACATGAGATCCCAAATGTCTTGCTACAAGGTCTAGACTCATCATAACGCTGCCGAAAGCTGACAAATCTCACACGATTTTAAATACTGGGTCAACTGCAGCTGTAACACGACTCCTCGAGTATCAGAACAAGACAACGCCGGTCTGTTTTCTCTTATCAGGAGAATTACACAATGTTACATGTTGCCTTACTTTTGGGCCTCCGAAGGGAGGCAGAGGGGGGAGTGAAAACACGTCCCCCAGAGCCTCGGATCACGTGCACTCTCCGGCGGACCGGAGCGAGAACAGAAAAAAAGCAACGGGAGACTCTACACCGAAGAGCCATCAAAACAGCGCGCAAGAGATTCTTGTCACCTGGTTACATCTGGAAGCCACTGTGCAGTTAGGCTGGGCCACTCCAGGGCGTGGGTCATCACCAAGTCGTACAGAAATGGGGTGTTCTTTTTCCATATTTTGTACTCCTCGTTGATCACACGCTCTTCCACCGCGTCGTCAAAGGCTGCTAAAGATTTTTTTTTAAGCAAACTAAGTTAGCGAGTGGAGGCAGGCGCGCTCCCCCGTCCTGACTGAAATGGAGGCGACTCGGCTCGACCTCCCAGGCCGAGGCTCCGCCGCGCCTCTCCGCCCGCGCGGGGCCGGAAGTCCCCAGCTCACTCCGGCCCGAGGCTCCAGTTCGGGGCGCCGCGGAGTCTACGGGACCGGCCAGGAGGCCCGGGGAGGGGTAGGCAGCGGCGCGGCACGCCGGCCACAGAGCCCGAGCGCGAGGAGGGACAAACAACCGGCCGGCCCCCACCGCCAGCTCCGCCGCGCGCCGGCGGGCATCGCTCCTGAGGACCTGGCGTGCCGTTAGCCGCCCCGCGGGGAGCGCCCTCCTCGCGCCTCCGTCGCCGGGGACTGCGCTCAGCCAAGTCGGGCCTGCCTTCACTCTTTGGCCGAGCCGAGGCCACGGCGCAGCCCCGGCACCCCCCGCCCTCCTGAGGCGGCCCCAGCAACCTCACCTTCCTTGTCGGCCATGGCGGGCGGACGAGCCGGGGGGAATCCCGGGGTCGAGCGCTGCGGGAGGGGCGGGGAGGCTGCGGGCGCTCGTTCGGCGCGCGCGGCCTCTATTGTTTCCTGCGGCCCCTGCGTGAGGCCCGACTCGCGCACCTTCGCGCCAACAGCAACCAATCGGAGCGCGCCGAGCGGCGGGGTGGGCGGGGAAACGGCCATCGCAGCCTATCCAGACGCGCGGAATCGTTCCCCGCGGGGCCCAAGAGCGCTCTCCACCCCTGCCCCCCACCGCCGGGGACCGACTTCCACCGGTTGCGCGCGCACCCGAGTAGGTGGGGCTGTACCCATCCCGAGTCACGTGAGAGAGTTTTAGCTCGCGCACTCCCGGGGGCGGCCATTTTCTTTAAGGCTGTTAAGCATATGAATCTATTGAGAAGAGCCCTGAGACGAGAAATTTCGGATGCTTTCACATCTGGTTATCAACTCTGGGGGCGAGGCGGAGAGAAAAGCCTTCACCCCTCCAGACCCAGAGGTGTCTTAATAAAAGTTTTCCGTCAACTAGTTTCCTTTGTCTTTAGAAAGAACTACTGAGAAGCGCCGAAAATGGGAGTTTAGCCTTTCAAATACGAGATCCGAGCGGCACGGCCCCAGATGGAAGTTTTCGGGCCTAACGTAGGTCGAACTGTGAGATTGGAGTCCTGGCCCTTTAAGGGTGCGTGCCAAGGGGCGGGGTCTAGGGCGGAAGTCGTAACGTGGAGTCGAAGTCTGCAGGTGTAGGGCGGAAGGAGAGTGTCCGAATCTGGCCGTCATGGCGCAGGGCGAGGAAGATGTTAGAGATTACAATTTGACTGAGGAGCAGAAGGCGATCAAGGCCAAGTATCCTCCAGTCAATCGGAAGTACGAGTGTGAGTAGGTGGCTCGCTGCTCTTCAGGTAGCGGTACACGGGCATGCCTTCCGGCCTCGCCTGGTATTCTGCCCCAGGGGTGCTTCAGGTGTGGACCCCGTGGCGCCCTGTGGTGTGGCTTTTCTGCTTGTCACGGGGGATGCTGAGAGGGCAAAAAAGCCTCCAGATGTGTTTGATTCGGGAAACCTGGGCTCCCGCGTTTACAGTCTCTTGAACTCTTTCCATAGGTGCCCGAGCCCATTTATCTTGGTGAATTGTGCAAGTGTAACCGTGTTTTCCAGCGTTGTGGGGTCGTCGCTCCCAGGTTGTCTCCTGACACTGGGATGCAGTGTAGCCAGGGTAGAGGACTCGGAAAGCTAAGTAGGGGACTTGGTGTTTCGCCTTGGTCGTGTTGGTAGTAAGACCTGATGTTTGCCATTTATTGCTTTGGTGACTTTAAGTAAATTCCATAACCGTATTTGCATCTCGATTCCTACATTTGATGAATAAATAATGAGTGTGGAGGTATAGTGCAGACTGTTAAGTTCTGTATTAGGAAAACTGGCCGTGTTGGGGGTGCAGCTGGTTAAGCCGCCGCCTGCCCCTTGGACATCAGGCTTCGGGTGCCGGAGTCCCTGTTGCTCCACTTCTGATCCTGCTCCCTGCTAATGCGCCTGGGAAAGCAGGTCCCCGCCTCCCACGTGGGAGACCCAAATGGAGCCCCTGGCGCTGGGAGGTCTACAAGAGACAGTGAGATCTTCCATCTATTGGTTTGCTCCCCAGATGGCCACAATGGCCAGGGCTGGGCCAGTCCAGAGCCAGGAGCTTCATCTGGGTTTCCCATGTGGGTGGCAGGGGCCCAAACACGAGGACCATCTTCCACTGCTTTTCCCAAGCCGTCAGCTGGGACACTCACAAACTGGCACCCATTTGAAATGCTAGCATTGCAGGCGGCAGCTTTACATGCTGCACAGCGCCAGCCTTGGGGCTTAATCTCTTTAAATGAACTAATAAGTCTTCAAAGTTTTTTTTTTTTTATGTTAAGTTTTCAAATATGATTGATAGTGACAGATGTAACCCCTATAAATAAAAGCTCTTGGGGATCTCAGTAATTTTTTAAGAAACTAAAGGGGGTTAGCCGGCGCCGCGGCTCACTAGGCTAATCCTCCGCCTTGCGGCACCGGCACACCAGGTTCTAGTCCCAGTCGGGGCGCCGGATTCTGTCCCGGTTGGCCCTCTTCCAGGCCAGCTCTCTGGTGTGGCCAGGGAGTGCAGTGGAGGATGGCCCAAGTCCTTGGGCCCTGCACCCCATGGGAGACCAGGATAAGTACCTGGCTCCTGCCATCGGATCAGTGCGGTGTGCCGGCCGTGCTGGCCATTGGAGGGTGAACCAACGGCAAAGGAAGACCTTTCTCTCTCTCTCTCTCTCACTGTCCACTCTGCCTGTCAAAAAAAAAAAAAAAAAGAAAGAAAGTAAAGGGCTCCTGAAACCAAAAATTGAGAATCACTGTCCTATAGCAATCTGACATTGTCTTTTTAAACTATTTTTTAAGATTTACTTATTTATTTTAAAGGTGGAAATACAAAGAGAGAAGGAGAATGATAGGGAATTTTTCATCCGCTGGTTCACACTCCAAATGGCCACAACAGCTGGGGCTGGGCCAGGCCAAAGCCAGGAGCCAGGAGCTTCTTTCAAATCTCCCAATGAGTGCAGGGGCCCAAGCACTTGGGCTGTCTTCTGCTGCTTTCCCAGGCACACTAGCAAGGAGCTGGATTGGAAATGGAGCACCCAGGACTGGAATCGGTGCCCATTATGGGATGCTGGCACCACAAGTGGAGGCTTAACCTTCTACACCACAGCGCCAGCTCCCTAAACTGATTTTTTTAATGTAAATGTCAGGCCGGCACCCGTGGCTCAATAGGCTAATCCTCCGCCTTGTGGCGCCAGCACACCGGGTTCTAGTCCCGGTCGCTGCAGCGGCCATTGGAGGGTGAACCAACAGTAAAGGAAGACCTTTCTCTCTATCTCTCTCTCACTGTCCACTCTGCCTGTCAAAAAAAAAAAAAAATGTAAATGTCATACCTGAATAAAGTGCTCAATCTGAGGGTATAAAGTCCAGTGAGTTTTGGTAGAAGATACATCTGTATTTCCAGACTATAAACATTTTCAGACTATAAACATTCCCTAGACAGGTCCGTTTTGCACTTTCCAGGAAATCCCCCACCAGTGAAGCTCAACGCTGTTGTGTTTTCCACCACAGCTTAATTTTACATGTTTTAGTTAGAACTCCATATAAATGGAATCACCTAGTATAGATTTTCTTTGTTTAAGGTTTTTGGTTTGAATTGATTTGAAAGATGGGAAGAGAGAAAGTGAGAGATCTTCCATCTTCTGGTTCATTCTGCAAATGCCCACAACAGCCAGGGCTGGGTCAGGCCATAGCAGGAGCCAAGAGCTTCCTCCAGGTTTCCTATGTGGGTGGCGGGACCCATGTTCTTGAGCCATCATCTGTTTCCAGGGTGCATTAGCAGGAAGCTGGACCAGAATCAGAGGCAGGACTCAGTCCCAGGCACTCTGATATGGGATGCAGGCATCCCAAGCAGCGGCTTAACCAGCTGCACCCCAGTCTAGGTTCTTTTAAATCTGACTTCTTCACTCATATTTACAGTAAACTCAACTGGATATTGGTTGAGGAGGCGGAAAGAGATTTAATTCAGTAATTACTACCAATAGGGGAAAGAACTAAGCTTCATTCTGATTTGTGCAGAGATGATTGGGCATTTTATAGGGATAATAAAGGGAGCTTTATTATTAGGGACTCAGTAGTAAGAGAAGTAAAAAGGTACTAAGGGCCAGTCCATGTAAATGCAAAGAGGCCAGCTGTGTCTGTAACTAGTGTTATCTAAGTTAGGACTCTGTCCTCCCACTAAGAGCTGGAAACAGAGGGCCCCTTTTCGTGGGTCCTTGAAAAAGATACTTCTGAGTTATAAGAGATATATATTCACAATACAAGTTCTAAGAAAGGGAGGTCAGGGGCCTGTATCAGGTGTTGACTAGAACAAACAGTAAATTCTGGCCATGTGGAGCTTTCTCAAGAAGGCATTTTTAAAAATTTTATTTACTTATTTGAGAGGCAGAGTTACAGAATGAGAGAGGGAAAGACAGATAGAAAGGTCTTCCATCCACTGGTTCACTCCCCAGATGGCTGCAATAGCCAGAGCTGAGCTGATCCGAAGCCAGGAGCCTCTTCCAGGTCTCCCACACCAGTGCAGGGGCTCATGCACCCAGGCCATCCTCCACTGCTTTCCCCTGCCACAGCAGAGAGCTGGATTAGAAGTGGAGCAGCCAGTGGCCGGCGCCGCGGCTCACTAGGCTAATCCTCCGCCTGGCGGCGCCGGCACACCGGGTTCTAGTCCCGGTTGGGGCGCCGGATTCTGTCCCGGTTGCCCCTCTTCCAGGCCAGCTCTCTGCTGTGGCCAGGAAGTGCAGTGGAGGATGGCCCAGGTGCCTGGGCCCTGCACCCCATGGGAGACCAGGAAAAGCACCTGGCTCCTGGCTCCTGGCTCCTGCCATCGGATCAGCGCGGTGCGCCGGCTGCAGCGCGCTGGCCGCAGCGGCCATTGGAGGGTGAACCAACGGCAAAGGAAGACCTTTCTCTCTGTCTCTCTCTCTCACTGTCCACTCTGCCTGTCAAAAAAAAAAAAAAAAAAAAAAAAGAAGTGGAGCAGCCAGGATATGAACTTGCGCCTATATGGGATGCCGGTGCCGCAGGCAGAGGCTTAGCCCTGGCCCCCAAGAAGGCATTTTCATAGGGGACTGCCGTCATCCCAAGAACATGGACTTATGTCACTAGGAAGCCATGGCTAGAGTATAGTCAAGTACAGGGATTTAGATACAGTTGCTTTTTGCTGAGAATTTGTAGTTTTCACCCAACAAAATGTTTTGAGATTCATGTTAATGCATGGAGCCACAGTTGATGCTTTTTTTTTTGGCTGAATAGTATTTCATTAGATGGTTATACCTCCATTTGTTTTATCTGTTCTCTTTTTGATGGCCGTTGAATTTTTTAATTTTTATAAATAAAATTGGTGTGAAGATTCTCATGTATTTCTGTGGACACATGCTTTCATTTCTCTGGGGTTAATACCTTGTCACAGTTTTTTTTTTTTTTTTTTTAAAGATTTATTTATTTACTTGAAAGGCAGAGTTACACAGAGGGACAGAGAGGTCTTCCATCTGCTAGTTCACTCCCTAAATGGCTGCAATGGCTGGAGCTGGATTCATCCGAAGCCAGGAGCCAGGAGCTTCTTCCGGGTTTCCCATGCGGGTGCAGGGGCCCAAGCACTTGGACCATTTTCTACTGTTTTCTCAGGCCACCAGCAGGGAGCTTGATTGGAAATGAAATAGTCAGGACTCAAACCAGCACCCACAGGGGATGCCAGCGCTGCAGGCAGATGGTTAGCCTACTTTGCCACAGCTCCAGCCCCATGTCACAGTCTTTAGTTTTTGTTTGTTTGTTTGTTTTTTATTTAATTTAAATTTATTTTTTTATTTTTTGACAGGCAGAGTGGACAATGAGAGAGAGACAGACAGAGAGAAAGGTCTTCCTTTGCCGTTGATTCACCTTCCGATGGCCACTGTGGCTGTGGCCGGCGCACTGCGCTGATCCGAAGCCAGGAGCCAGGTGCTTCTCCTGGTCTCCCATATGGGTACAGGGCCCAAGGACTTGGGCCATCCTCCACTGCACTCCCGGGCCACAGCAGAGAGCTAGCCTGGAAGAGGGCCAACCGGGACAGAATCCGGCGCCCCGACCGGGACTAGAACCCGACCGGGACTAGAACCCGGTGTGCCGGCGCCGCAGGCGGAGGATTAGCCTAGTGAGCCAAGGCGCCGGCCTGTCTGTTTTTTAATATGTACCTTTGATTACCTGTGACCAGCTTGTTAATAAACTAATTACTGATTGATTTTTATTTCTTTAAAAAAGATTTATTTATTTGAAAGTCAGAGTTACACAGAGAGAGAAGGGGAGGCAGAAAGAGAGGGAGGTCCTCCATCAACTGGTTCACTCTCCAGTTGGCAGCAACGCTTGAAGCTATGCTGATCTGAAGCCAGGAGCCAGGAACTTCTTTCTGGTCTCTTACACGGGTACGGGGGCCCAATGGCTTGGGCCATCTTCTACTGCTTTCCCAGGCCATAGCAGAGAGCTAGATTGGAAGAGGGGCACCAGGACTAGAACTTCTGCCTATAGGGATGCTGGTGCCTCAGGTGGAGAATTAACCTGCACTACAATGCCGGCCCCTAAAACAGTTTTATCTAGGATTAGACCACCTATTTATGAAAAGGTAAGAGAGAGAAATCCAGAATTGTACATATTTAATTATGATGCAGTTCCTAGAATTTGGTCATCCACACAGTAGATATTCAGAAAAGAGATTAATTTGTTTTTTTTTTTTAAGAAGAAGTAAATGTTAGCAGGAAATGTTATTTGTTTATTGAGAAAATGTTACACATTTTTTAGATTAGCTAGAAGACCTTGGCCTTGCTACCTTCCAGAAACTGTCATTCATTTAAATATAAATCTTGGCTTGAAAAAAATAATAATAACCTTAAGAAAGCAGTTAACTTTATTGAATAAATGGATAACAAAACCTCTAGGCAGCCCCATATTTTCTTGTTCTTCAGGGATGATGTTCTTAATGATGAGCTTGAGTTGTGATTTGGAGTCAAGTTTAGCAACTTAAAAGTGTTTTTCCCTCTTTCCTTCAGATTTGGATCATACAGCGGATGTCCAGTGAGTATAGCCAGAATTTGTTCTTTTGAATAGGAACACTTATTGTTTTAATTTTCTTCTCTCATTTTGGTTCCTTCTGAATGTGAAATGATAGTTTAAAAGCTCCGGGTTCTAGTACCATTGAATTGACTGAAGCCTTTAGTTTTGTATCTATCACACTGATTTTATTTTGACCTTGCTGTTGAGTTTTCTCTCTTGCAATGGACTGTGTTACACCTAGCATGGATGTGTGTTTTTAGGTTGCATGCATGGGGCGATACCCTGGAGGAAGCCTTTGAGCAATGTGCCATGGCCATGTTTGGTTATATGACAGATACGGGGACTGTGGAGCCCCTCCAAACCGTGGAAGTGGAAACTCAAGGTAACTAATTTAATCACAAGGGAGCCATTGTTATGCCAATGTGTGCTGTTCTACATATTCAAGTATATTTTCACTAGAACAACAACAATGAGCCTGTTAATCCTCTTTCAACTAGCCTCTGAAATTTATTTAACTTTAAAATTCAAACAGGTTTTTAGAGAGCAGAATTACTAACCATCCTATTATCATGGCTCTCTCTGATCCTGTATAGGAGATGACTTGCAGTCTCTTCTCTTCCACTTTTTGGATGAGTGGCTTTATAAATTTAGTGCTGATGAATTCTTCATACCCCGGGTAAGCTAAGGTTTTTGATTTTTACTGAACAAATGGGTTCTTTGTTCATATTTTAAAATAGCACACCTGACTTGAAACAGAATATGTGATATGAAACATCCAGACAGATCTGTAAGATGATACTGATTTGCAGAAATTATGATGACCATGACAACTTCTTGGCAAGCCTGAGTTTGCCTGTGTGTGTGCATTTTCTATTTAGGTCTCTGATCATGTACTTGGTACTAATCAGGATTCTGTGATCAGAATGCACCTATACTGACTTCCTCCACACTTTCATCTCCTGAGTGTGAGCTATATTTATGTCCATCACTGTTTCTTTTGTTCCATTTGAAATTTAGTTGTTGTGTCTTGTTAGCCTACGTTAAGCAATTTCTGTCATTGTTAGGTGACACCCATGGCTCACCCTGTTTCCATAATTCTTCTATTTTTACCTTATCAGCTCTACTGTATAGATGGATGAAGCCCTGTGTCTTTCCTCTCTTAACATGTGTCATGTATAGAGAATCTTTTGACTCTTGTTTTTAGACTGCATTTTTAAAAAATTGCTACTTTGAATATGTAAAAAAAATTTCTGTGAAACATATTTATTGTTCTATTTTAGTTAAAAGTTTACTTTTCTTTGTTTTAGAGAAGCTGTATGCTATTGTTTTTTAGAAAAGATAGTAACTTAGACATGTTTTAATAGTCCATTTTGAACATTTTTAAGTTAAAATATGTTTTTCCTTTTTAGGAAGTGAAAGTACTTAATATTGATCAAAGAAATTTTAAATTACGATCAATTGGGTGAGTTTTGAAATTTCTTTTAAGTTGCAAGTCATGAAAGATGTTAAAGTGGTATCTTTACTGAAGCCAGTAGGCAGGCAAGAAGACACAGAGCAATGTTAAGGCAAAGGACTGTTTACTTTCAATAGGACTTTGCAGAATGAGCTTTGTGAGATACTCAGGAGTGAGGGCTCATATATTCTTTGCAGGAGCTAACACAATCCAGCTGTTGTGCCTGATTTCCAATTTGTTGAGTTTTAGAGGGGAGAGAAACACACGCATACACACACACACACACACCATATATATATATATATCAAGATAAGTGGCACAGATTAAAGCCCATCTTATCCTTTCCATGAATCTTCACTTTTTTTTTTTAAAGATTTATTTTATTTATTTATTTGGAAGGCATAGTTACAGAGAGGCAAAGGCAGAGAAAGAGAACTTCATCCACTGGTTCACTCCCCAAATGTTCACAACAGCTGGAGCTAAGCCAATCTGAAACCAGGAGCCAGGACCTTCTTCCGGGTCTCCCACATGGATACAGGGGCCCAAGCACTTGGGCCATCCTCCACTGCTTTCCCAGGCCATGGCAGAGAGCTGGATCAGAAGTGAAGCAGCCAGGCCTCGAAAAGATGCCCATATGGGATGCTGGCACTGCAGGCAATGGCTTTACCCACTATGCCACAGCGCTGGCCCCAAATCTTTACTTCTTGACCCATTCAGATCAGTTCCTTTTCTTTTCCTTCCAAAATTTTTTTGTTTGTTTTTGTTTTGTTTTTTTGAATTTATCTGTAAAGTGTTTCTTTTAATGATAAGATTTTTTAAAAAGATTTATTTATTTATTTGAAAGAGAGAGAGAGAGAAGAGGAGAGGAGAGGAGAGGAGAGAGAGGTCTTTCATCCGTTGGTTCACTCCCCAATTGGCCGCAATGGCCAGAGTTGCACTGATGCAGAGCCAGGAGCCAGGAGCTTCTTCCAGGTCTCCCACATGGGTGCAGGGGCCCAAGGACTCAGGCCATCCTCAATTGCTTTCCCAGGCCATAGCAGAGAGCTGGATAGGAAGTGGAGCAGCCAGGTCTCGAACCAGTGCCCATATGGGACGCCCGGCGCTTCAGGCCAGGGCATTAACCTGCTCTGCCACAACGCCAGCCTCTTGTTTTTGTTTTTAAGATTTTGTTTATTTGAGAGGCAAAGTTACAGACAGAGGAAGAGATAGAGAGAAAGGTCTTCCAACCATCAGTTTACTCCCCAAATGGTTGCGATGGCCAGAGCTGTTTAGGGTCCAAGCATTTGGGCCATCCTCCACTTTTCCCATGCCACTAGCAGGGAGCTGGATCTGAAGTGAAACAGCTGGGACACAAACTGGTACCCATTTGAAATGCCAGCACTGCAGGCAGAGGCTTAGCCTACTGTGCGAGTGCCAGCCCCATACAGATTTATTTTTTTTTTTATTATTTTCTTTGACAGGCAGAGTGGACAGTGAGAGAGAGAGACAGAGAGAAATGGTCTTCCTTTGCCCGTTGGGTTCACCCTCCCAATGGCCGCCGCGGCAGGCGCCGCTGCGGCCGGGCGCACCGCGCCCGATCCGGTGGCAGGAGCCAGGAGCCAGGTGCTTTTCCTGGTCTCCCATGGGGTGCAGGGCCCAAGCACCTGGGCCATCCTCCACTGCACTCCCTGGCCACAGCAGAGGGCTGGCCTGGAAGAGGGGCAACCGGGACAGAATCCGGCGCCCCGACCGGGACTAGAACCCGGTGTGCCGGCGCCGCTAGGCGGAGGATTAGCCTAGTGAGCCGCGGCGCCGGCCCCCATACAGTTTTAAACACTTGATTAGGTCACTTTGATTGGACTTGTTTCCCAGGTTTCTTAGTTGCCTAATTATAGCTTGTAGGTCATTTTTATAGCTTATCTTTTCTACTTTATATTGAATTTTCTTAGTTTCTTCCTTCCTTCCTTCCTTCCTTCCTTTCTTCCTTTCTTCCTTTCTTTCTTTCTTTCTTTCACAGGCAGAGTTAGTGAGACAGAGAGAGACAGAGAGAAAGGTCTTCCCTCCGTTGCTCCACCCCCCTGATCTGAAGCCAGGAACCAGGCGCCTCCTCCCGGTCTCCCTTGTGGGTGCAGGGCCCAAGCACTTGGGCCATCCTCCACTGCCTTCCCAGGCCACAGCAGAGAGCTGGACTGGAAGAGGAGCAACCGGGACTAGAACCCGGCGCCCATATGGGATGCTGGCGCTGCCGACAGAGGACCAACCAAGTGAGCCACGGCGCCGGCCCCAGTTTTTTTGTCAAGTGAAGTCTTTTATTATCTCCCCCTCTTTTTTCTTTGTGGGTAAGGAGAAAGGCTTTTGCAAAGGTACTTAGCTAATACGTAGTTGAACAGAATTTTAAAAGTTTGCCCCTTCTACTATAACGCATTGTGATCTTCAGCCACGTTAATGTCAAAGTTAGAGAGGACACTTATCCCAAGTTCTAAGAGAGCACCTTGCTAGGGCTTTCAAAACAGATCACGGGCCGGCGCTGCAGCTCACTAGGCTAATCCTCCACCTGCGGCGCCGGCACACCGGGATCTAGTCCCGGTCGGGGCGCCGGATTCTGTACCGGTTGCCCCTCTTCCAGGCCAGCTCTCTGCTGTGGCCCGGGAGTGCAGTGGAGGATGGCCCAAGTCCTTGGGCCCTGCACCCCATGGGAGACCAGGAGTAGCACCTGGCTCCTGCCTTCGGATCAGCGCGGTGTGCCAGCCGCAGCGCGCTGGCCGCGGCGGCCATTGGAGGATGAACCAATGGCAAAAGGAAGACCTTTCTGTCTCTCTCTCTCTCACTGTCCACTCTGCCTGTCAAAAAATAAAAAATAAATAAATAAATAAATAAAAAACAGATCATGGATGTTTTAGGAAAAGTCAGAAGAATGCGAACCAAGTTTAGACCATATTGCACAATTGATTATTCTCAGACTTGCTTTTTCCAGTGGGAGATATTATTTAGTTAATTCTATAGCCATAAGTTTAGTGAAACTTTTAAATGTGGTACCGTATTATAAAATAATACAAATTAAACAATGTTTATTGAGAATCTACCATACGCACACTGTATTGGGGCACTTTAGAGCAATTGTCAATCCTGAGAGCCACCAATGGCCATTGCACACATGTCCCCCAGACCTGTATCTGCTGGAAAAGCAAAGTGAAGTTTGTTTACAACCCCTACCCCTCATACCTCTTGTGCTTTCTAGTATCTTACGCATATTCATGAGACCATTTACTTTTATTTTAAAATATATATATATTTTGGCCGGCGCCGTGGTTCAATAGGCTAATCCTCCACCTGCGGCGCCGGCACACCGGGTTCTAGTCCCAGTCAGGGCGCCAGATTCTGTCCTGGTTGCCCCTCTTCCAGGCCAGCTTTCTGCTGTGGCCCAGGAGTGCAGTGGAGGATGGCCCAGGTGCTTGGGCCCTGCACCCCACGGGAGACCAGGAGAAGCACCTGGCTCCTGCCTTCGGATCAGCGCAGTGCGCCGGCCGCAGTGGCCACTGGGGGGTGAACCAACAGAAAAAGGAAGACCTTTCTCTCTCTCTCTCTCTCTCTCACTGTCCACTCTGCCTGTCAAAAAAAAAAATAATGTATATATATATTTTTTATTTTAAAATATTTATTTTTATTTTAAAATATTAAATCTTGGAAATCTTAATCATGTTTTAATTTTCCTTCTTAAGGTGGGGAGAAGAATTTTCATTGTCCAAGCACCCTCAGGTATATTTTAAAATCCAGTCATTAAAAACATTCCATACTATAAAGTCCATAAATGTGATAGTAAACTTCCAACTAACTCTAATAATTGCTGTGCATGCAATAAACTTCTCTTACACTTCTCTGAGCTATCTGGGTATGTTATGCTAAAATATTGGGTACTTTTTTCCAGAAAGTTCATGGAAAATAGAATTAAAAGGTAAGCTTATTTTGGTGTATAAAGATAAAGTCTCCTGCGAGCCAGCACTGTGGTGTAGCAGATAAAGCTGCAGTCTGCAGTGCCAGCATCCCATATGGGTGCCAGTTCGAGTCCCAGCCGCTCTACTTCCCATCCAGCTCTCTGCTATGGTCTGGGAAAGCAGTAGAAGATGGCCCAAGTCCTTGGGCCCCTGCACCCATGTGGGAGACCTGGAAGAAGCTCCTGGCTCCTGGCTCCGGATCGATACAGCTCTGGCTGTTGCAGTCAACTGGGGAGTGAACCAGTGGATGGAATACCTCTCTCTCTCTGCCTCTCCTCTCTCTGTGTAACTCTGACTTTCAAATAAATAAATAAATATTTAAAAAAATAAAGATAAAGGCTTCCTAATGTCATGATAAGGATGGAATGTGCTACCTTGGAAATTAAAACATTTTTTAAAATATTTATTTACTTGAAGGCAGAGTAACAGAGAGTGAAGGGGAGAGAGAGAAATCATCTACCTACTGGCTCATTCACCACATGGCTGCAATGGCTGGGGCTGGGCCAGGCTGAAGCCAAGAGCCTGGAAATCTATCTAGGTCTCCCACATGAGTGGCAAGGCTCCAAGCACTTGGGCCATTTTCCACTGCCTTCCCAAGCACGATTTTAAGTGAAGCAGCCAAGATTCAAGGCAGCACTCTGATGTGAGATGCTCGTGTTGAAAGCAGTGGCTTAATCTCCTCAGTCACAAATCTGGCCTATATAAATGTATTTTTATGTAAATGAAATTTTGCCTGTAATATGCCAGACATTATTTTAGACCCTTTAGGTAGAGAGGTAACAGGACAAGCAAGGTCTCTACCCTCACTGGGCTTCAAATCTAATGATGGAAGCGAGCCTGAAAACATGGAAACAACTGAACAATGTAACTTCAGTTGGTAAATAGTCCCATTGGGGTAAGGGCGGGTGGTTGGAAGAGAGGAAAGGGTGATCAGAAAGGTGGTCTGAGGAGGTTACATTTTAGCAGAGGCCAGGAAGTAGAAAATGAGTAGAGACAAGGAAGGAATTCTTCCAGGCAGAAGAAAGAGATGTGTAGGTCAGGAAGGGAGATAGATGATCCATGTCCCAGGAAACAGCAAGGACAGTGCTGCTGGTGCTGAGAGAGAGACAGAAGCCTTGGAGATGAGGTGGTGCTGATACAGAGCAGGGCATGCGGATCTCAGTTTTTTTTTTTCTAAGATTTTATTTTTTGTTTTTAAACTTTTTTTTGAAATTTATTTATTTATTTGAAAGTCAGAGTTGCACAGAGAAAGGAGAGGCAGAGAGAGAGAGAGGTCTTCCATCCACTGGTTCACTCCCCAATTGGCTGCAATGGCCAGAGCTGTGCCAATCTGAAGCCAGGAGCTTCTTCTGGGTCTCCCACACAGGTGCAGGAGCCCAATGACTTGGGCCATCTTCTACTGCTTTCTCAGGCCATAGCAGAGAGCTGGATAGGAAGTGGAGCAGCTGGGTCTTAAACCAGCGCCCATATGGGATGCCAGCGCTTCAGGCCAGGGCATTAACCCGCTGCACCACAGTGCTGGCGCCAAGATTTTATTCTTTTATTTGAGAGATAAATAGAGAGACAGAGAAAGGCCTTTCATCCGCTGGTACACTACCCAAATGGCCTCAACGGCTAGAGCTGGGCCATTCAGAAGCCAAGAGCCAGGAGCTTCTTCCAGGTCTCCCACATGGGTGCAGGGGCCCAAGGACTTGAGCCATCTTCTACTGCTTTTCCAGGCAGTAGCAGAATGCTGGATCAGAGAAGAACATCCAGGACATGAACTGGCACCCATATGGGATGCTGGTGCCGCAGACAGAGGCTTAGCCTACTAGGCCACAGCATGGCTCTGTGGATCTTACTCTTAGTGTAATGGGGAGCCATGGGAAGATTATAATCATGGGAGTTGTATGATCTGATTTGAGCATTAAAGTGACCAAGAATAGACCATAAAGGGGGTGAAACTGGCATCACAGAAGCCATTTAGGAAGCCTTTACAAGCATCTACATGAAAGATGATAACGTGGATGAGGGTTTCAGTGCAGAGATGATAAGTGGTTAGATTAATATTTATTTTGACCTTGCAGTGCCAGCACACCGGATTCTAGTCCCGGTTGGGGTGCCGGATTCTGTCCCGGTTGCCCCTCTTCCAGGCCAGCTCTCTGCTGTGGCCAGGGAGTGCAGTGGAGGGTGACCCAAGTACTTGGGCCCTGCACCCCATGGGAGACCAGGAGAAGCACCTGGCTCCTGCCATCGGATCAGCGCGGTGCGCCGGCCGCGGCGGCCATTGGAGGGTGAACCAATGGCAAAAGGAAGACCTTTCTCTCTGTCTCTCTCTCTCACTGTCCACTCTGCCTGTCAAAAAATAAAAAATAAATCCAAAAAAAAAATTTATTTTGAAGGTAGACACTATTCTTACTGGTCTGAGCAACTGAGGGAGTGCTGGTCCCATTGCTTAGTAGTTAAGACTAAGGGAAAAGCGGGCCTTTGAACATGTTATGTTTTTAAGGTGTTTTTTAATGTTTAAATTTTTATCTATTTACTTGAAAGGTAGAGAGACGCACAGAGATCTCCCATGCACTGGTTCCTTCCCAAATGCCCACAACAGCAAAGGCTGTGCCAGGCTGAGGCCGAGAGCCAGGAACTAAATCTGAGTCTCCCACGTGGGCAGCAGGAACCCAGGTGCTTGAGCCATTACTTGCTGCCTCCTGCAGTACATATTAGCAGGAAACAAATTAAGAGTGGAGTCAGGACTTGAATGCAGGTGCTCTAATATGGGATGCAGGCATCCCAAGTAGTATCTTTTTTTTTTTTTTTTTTAGATTTATTTATTTATTTATTTGAAAGACAGAATTACAGAGAGGCAGAGGCAGAGAGAGAGAAAGGTCTTCCATCCACTGGTTCACTCCCCAAATGGCTGCAATGGCTGAGGCTGAGCCAGTCTGAAGCCAGGAGCTTCTTCCAGGTCTCCCACACAGGTGCAGGGGCCCAAGGACTTGGGCCATCTTCTACTGCTTTCCCAGGCCACAGCAGAGAGCCGGATCGGGACTCAAACCAACACCCATGTGGGATGCTGGCACTGCAATTGGTGACTTTACCCACTATGCCACAGCACCGGCTCTCAAGTAGTATCTTAACAGCTGTGCCAAATACCTGGTTCAGCACATTAGTTTGAGAAGTCTATTACACATCTAAACGGAGATGTTAGATAATAGGCTTTTGGCTACAGGGTGGCTTGTTCAGATGTTTCTGAAAATATAAATTTGGGAGTCATCACTGAATAAATATTTATAGTGATAGGATTAGACGAGATTGCCAAGGAGTAAGTGTACTAAAAGAGAGCAGTGGAGACAGCTGAGCCACGGGGCACTCGGCTTGGGAGAGAAGGAGCCACAAAGCAAAGGAGGGAGCAGAAGAGGGATGTCCGGCAGTCCCATGCTGCCGAGGCGCGCAGAGGTCAGGCGTGAGAGGCAGTAGGCAAGCAGAGGCAGCGTGTGCATACTTTGCTGGAAGAGACCGCAGGAGACTGGAACGGGGTAGAAGAGCACTGGCTGGCAGGAGCTGCGCCAGGAAAGGAGAAGGTTGTGTTTCTTCTTGGTTAGGAGATGGTGTTATACTAAGTGGAAATGATCTAGGAAGAGGCAGAAACTGATATGCTGGAGAGAGGATAATTTCAGAGCAAGAGGGGTATGGGATCGAGTGCTCAACTGGGAAAGTTGGGCTTCTTGGAGGAACAGAGATAGGTCATTCACTGTAACCCCGGGGAAGGCTACTGTGAGTACAGATACAGTAGGATGGGCAGTCAGGTGGTGGGAAGAGTCAGTTCGTACTGATTGTTCTTATTTTCTCTAGGAAGCACAGTTGACTGGAGGGAATGAGAAAGGGATGATGCCACAGGAGAAGATAAATAACTATCTCAGAGATTAGGAAGTGAATTTAATGGCAAATGTAGGATTACTGATCAGTGCTGAATGCCTATTTGAAATTTGTGGTTATCTGTATAAGGTGATAGCGGTTAGCACTGTGTGTGCTGCCACAGGCAGAAAGCTGATTTTAACATAGACTATGCTGATTGATTATTGCAGAGGGGAAGAGGCCTGGAACTCTTGGAATTTCTTTTGTGCTGTAGCGCTAGCAAATGTCTGATATGTTTTGTGGTGTAGCATTATTGAAGAATCTTTTTAGAGCTCATGAAACCTAAGGGAACATCTAATCCATGGTTCTAAACTGGGGCAGGGTGGGGGAGTGTCATGTATCAGAAGTACGTGGAGAGCTTTTGGCCTGAGAAATGATACCTTACTCTCCAGCTAGTCCTGGAAAAGCAGAATCCCAAGAGCAGAATCCAAGACTGCTGGCAGCTGAGAAGCATCGACTGACTTCCTGGGGCCTCGGTCACAAAATTAGGAGGAGGTTTGGGCTTGAGAAGGAGTCCTGAGCCAAACACTGGCAAAGCTTGTGTTGTTTGATTTGATTTTTTTTTTTAATTAATTAATTTATTTCAAAGGGAAAGAGAAAGTGAGGAAGGGAGGGAGAGGGAGAGGGAGAGAATCTTCCATCCGCTGGTTCACTCCTCAAATGTCCACAATGGCCAGAGTTGGGCCAGTCCACAGCCAGGAGCCAGGAGCTTCTTCTGGGTCTCCCACGTAGGTACAGGAGCCCAAGCACTTGGGCCATTTTCTGCTGCTTTCCCAGGTGCATTAGCAGGGAGCTGGATTGGAAGTAGAGTAGCGGGACTCAAACCAGCGCCCATATGGGATGCCAGTGCCACAGGTAGTGGCTTAACCCTGTATGCCACAGTGCCCACCCTGATTCAACCCATTTTACACAGGAAAGAACTGGTGCCAGAGAGGTCAGACAGCTTTCCCAGTCCTATCTCCTAACTCCAGTTCAGTGTTCTGTCATTTTATTACATCAGTATGAAATACTATGCTGATCTGATAACTAATTGTTTCATGGGGGGTTTTAGTTTTTCAAGATTGTATTAAAAATTTTGACTCTGCCAATTGTTGCTAGAGTTAATGATTCTAATTTCAGTGTTCTTGTTTCCTATTTGTTTTTTCTCTTCCCCAACTTTAGGGAACCGAAGTCAAAGCCATAACATACTCAGCAATGCAGGTTTATAATGAAGAGAAGCCAGAAGTTTTTGTGATCATTGACATTTAAGACACACAAAAAAGGAAGACTCCTTTGAAGAACTATTTTTTTCTCTTCCTTTTGAGAAGATACTGTGATTTAAGTTGTGTATTATCTTTGATACATGGAAACTTAAAGAAGTTTTTACTCAAAGTAACTTTCAAAAATGGGAAATCAGAGCACAGCAGTGATGTGTTCTTGTAAACCCTGAAACTGTAAAGAATTCTTCAGCTCCTGCCGGTGGTCACGTCCTCATTGTTGATTCTGTCCTTCCAGCGGGTGTCAGCCTCCCTCACTGATGGAAGCAGCTGCCTAAGAATGGATCCAGTTTGGAAAAAATAATTTGAGAAAATACTAGAATTTTGCTTTTCTTCTGAATTGGTCAAAAAAAAAATATATATATATATATACACACATACACACACATATATATATATTTTTTAAGGTTTATTTACTTATTTAAAAGGCAGAGTAACAGAAACTGAGAGAGATCGTCCATCTCTGGTTTACTCTCCAAATGTTCACAACAGCCAGGGCTAACCCAGGCTGAAGGCAGTAGCCAGGAACTCCATCAGAGTTACCCACATGGGTGGCAGGAATTCAAGTACTTGAGCCATCACCTGCGTCCCAGGCACATTAGCAGGGAGCTGGATCAGAAGCAGAGGAGCCAGTACTCCAGCCGGTACTCTTGATGTGGAACGCAGACTTCGCAAGCAGCAGCTTACTGCCCTGCACACGGCTGCCACACGACGTGCTTTATATGTTTGTGTACATTAAAGATTGTGATTAGATTGCTGTGGGACAGAACCACCTTTTATTGTAGTTGGTTTTCTTAGATGAAATAATTACAAGACCTGTCTAGAAGGAGCCCTGATTTTCTCTCTCTCTCCATTTTTTTTTTTTTTTTTAAGATTTATTTATTTACTTGAAAGTCAGAGTTACACTAAGAGAGAAGGAAAGGCAGAGAGAGAGAGAGAGAGAAAGAGGTCTTCCATCCGCTGGTTCACTCCCCAATTGGCCGCAGCAGCCGGAGTTGTGCTGATCCAAAGCCAGGAGCCAGGACCTTCTTCCGGGTCTCCCACGTGGGTGCAGGGGCTCAAGGACTTGTGCCATCTTCTACTGCTATCCCATACCATAGCAGAGAGCTGGATCAGAAGTGGAGTAGTGGATCTCGAACCGGCACCCATATGGGATGCAGGCACTTCAGGGCAGGGCGTTAACCCGCTGCGCCACAGCGCTGGCCCCACCTTCCATTTTTTTAAGCACTAAGTAACACTCGTATATTCTCATAAGAAAAATTTGATACTATGTCTTACAAATGGACTCTTCCTCTAACCTGTAACTTTTAAAGTCAGTCTATGTATTCAGTTAGAGAAAAGGAGAAAATTTTTGATTTTTTAAAAAGATATTTATTTGAAACGCAGAGTTAGAGAGAGAGAGAGAGGGAGAGGGAGAGGGAGAGAGAGTTTCATCTGCTAGTTCACTCCCCAAGTGTCTGCAATGGCCCGAGGCTGGGCCAGGCCAAAGTCAGGAACCAGGTCAGATTTTTAAAGACGTTCTTTTTGTTGTTCAGCTACCTAAGCAATTTGTGTGTGTGTGTGTGTGTGTGTGTTTTATCTACTTGAAAGAGTCATAGAGAGATTTCCATCCATTGGTTCTCTCCTCGAACGTCTTCAATAGCTGAGGCTGGGCAGTGCCGAAGCCAGGGACCCAGAGCTCCACCTGTGTCCTCCACCTGGCTGGCAGTGGCCCAGGCACTTGAGCTATCATCAGCTGCCTCCCAGGATGCAGGAGTAGGGAGCTGGATCAGAGGTGGAATAGTCAGGGCTCTGACCAGCACTCGGACATGGGATGAGGGTGTCCCAAGTGGTGGCTTAACCTGTTGTGCCACAACTCCCGCCCCAAAGCTATTTGTCTTGAAGGAAACATGAGACAAGGAAAACAACATTAAAATGGTTTGAAGTTTTAAAAGTAGAAGACTTTGATTTATTATTATTATTTTTTAAAAGATTTATTTATTTTACCTGAAAGAGTTACAGAGAGAGAAGGAGAGGCAGAGAGAGAGAGAGGTCTTCCATCTACTGGTTCACTCTCCAATTGGCTGCAACAGCTGGAGCTGTGCTGATCCAAAGCCAGGAGCCAGGAGACTCTTCTGATTCTCCCACGCAGGTGCAGGGGCCCAAGGGCTTGGGCCATCTTTCTACTGCTTTCCCAGGCCATAGCAGAGAGCTGGATAGGAAGTGGGGCAGCCGGGAGTAGAACCGGCACCCATATGGAATGCCAGCACTGCAGGTGGTGGCTCTAGCCACCACACCACAGGGCCAGCCCCTGATTTATTATTTTATAAAGATTTATTTATTTACTCGAGAAGCAGAGAGATGGAGATTCAGAGAGAGAGAGCGAGAGAGCTTCCATCCGCTCGTTCACTCCCCAGATGGCTGCATTGGCCTGAACTGAGCCAATCCAAAGCTAGGAAACAGGAGCCAGGAGCACGGAGCTGCTTCTGGGTTTCCCAAGTGGGTGCGGGGGCCCAAGCATTTGGGCCATCTTCCACTGCTTTCCAAGGCCATCAGCAGAGATCTGGATCATAAGTGGAACAGCGGGGTCTGCAATTGGCACTCATATGGGATGCTGGCGCCACAGGTGGGTGATTAACCTACTATGCCAGAGCTCCGGCCTGTGGTTTTGTTTTATTAAGATTTATTTATTTATTTATTTGAAAGAGCTACAGTGAGGGAGGTGGGGAGGGCTATCTGCTAGTTCATTCCCCAAATGGCTACACCAATCAGGACTTGGCCAGACTGAAGCTGGGAGCCTGGAACTCCATCTGGGTCTGCCACATGGGTGGCAAGGGCCCATGTGCTTGGGCCATCTTCTGTTGCTTTCCTAGACATATTAGCAGGGAGCTGGATGGAAAGTGGAGCAGGTGTACTCAAACTGGCGCTCCTTGGATGCCAGAGTTGTAGATGCCACAACCGTGGCCCCAGTAAATGCATTCGTATCTCAGGATCATGAGTGCAAAGTCATTCTTTTTTTTTGACAGGCAGAGTGGACAGTGAGAGAGAGAGAGAAAGGTCTTCCTTTTGCAGTTGGTTCACCCTCCAACGGCCGGCGCGCTGTGGCCGGCGCACTGCGCTGATCCGAAGGCAGGAGCCAGGTGCTTCTCCCGGTCTCCCATGGGGTGCAGGGCCCAAGGACTTGGGCCATCCTCCACTGCACTCCCGGGCCATAGCTGAGAGCTGGCCTGGAAGGGAGGGGGGGGGCAACCGGGACAGAATCCGGCGCCCCGACTGGGACTAGAACCCGGTGTGCCGGCGCCGCAAGGTGGAGGAGAAATGACGGCCACTGGGTGGTGTCAAACATCATTCAGTTTGCTGAACTTGAACTGAAAGGAAGAGATTAGCTATTACTGTTTAAGTGCTTTCTCTGAGTATTAATTTTCCTTTGGGCATTTAACAGAAAAGTAGGTTTAATGAAGAGTAGGCCAAGGGCTTATGGTTTGAAAAACAGCTCTTCAGATTAATATATAGCAATCTCCATAGGGTAATCCTTCTTAACCTTTTTTTAAAAAGATTTATTTATTTACTCATTTATTAGGACAGGAAGGGAGAGACTAAGAAAGAAATTTTCCACCTGCTGGTTCACTCCACAAATGGCCACAATGGCCAAACCTGGTCCTGGGTGAAGTCAGTACCTTGGTACTTCATCCAGGTCTCCTACATGGGTGGCAGAAGCCCACGAATTTGGACCATCACCCACTGCTTTCCCAGGTGCATTAGCAGGGAGCTGGATCCAAAGCAGTGCAGCTGGGACTCAAACCAGCACTCCAAAATGGGATGCCAACATTATAGGCAGCTGCTTAACCTGCTGGACCACAATCTTGGCCCCTTAACCTTCTTTATACTCAGGCTCATTTTGTAAATTTTGAATTGTAACTCTCCATGCAAGAAAAGTCCAGAAGAGGCTAGCACTGTAGTGCAACAGCTTAAGCCACCACTTGGAATACCAGCGTCTCCTGTCAGTGCTCGTTTAAGTCCTGGCTGCTCCACGTCTGATCCAGCTTCCTGCTAATGTGCCTGGGAAAGCAGTGGAAGATGGCTTCAGTACTTGGGCCCCTGCCACCCATGTGGGAGACCAGGAGAGAATTTCTAGTTCTTGTCTTCATCCTGTAGCAGCCTTGCCCATTGCGGTTGTTTATGGAGTGAACCAGCAGATGGACACCTCTCTCTTCTCTCTGACACCTTGCAAATAAATAAATCTTGAAAAACAAAACAAACCAATAGAACAACTTTGCTTTTTGTAAGGGCAGACTTCAAGGCTGAGATGGGGCTCTTTTCTTCCTTTTTAAAAAGTGCTGGGGCTGGTATTGTGGTATAGTGAGTAACACTGCCTCCTGCAATGCCAGCATCACATATGGGTGCCGGTTCCAGTCCCAGTTGCCACGGAAGATGCCCCAAGCACTTGAGCCTCTGCCACCCAGAGGGAGACCTGGAAGAATCTCCTGGCTCCTGGTGTTATGGACTTCTGGGAAGTGCACCAGCAGATGGAAGAGTCTGTGTGTGTGTATGTGTATGTGTAACTCTGACTTTCAAGTAAGTAAATTTTTTTTTTTTTTTTTGGACAGGCAGAGTGGACAGTGAGAGAGAGAAACAGAGAGAAAGGTCTTCCTTTGCCGTTGGTTCACCCTCCAATGGCCGCCGCGGCCGGCGCGCTGCAGCCGGCGCACCACGCTGATCCGATGGCAGGAGCCAGGAGCCAGGTGCTTATCCTGGTCTCCCATGGGGTGCAGGGCCCAAGCACTTGGGACATCCTCCACTGCACTCCCGGGCCACAGCAGAGAGCTGGCCTGGAAGAGGGGCAACCGGGACAGAATCCGGCGCCCCGACTGGGACTAGAACCCCGTGTGCCGGCGCCGCAAGGCGGAGGATTAGCCTAGT